ACAGGCGGTGCCCCCCTTGGGAGTCTCCCGGCAAATGTGGGCACAGCCATGGTTCTTGTTCATGCAGTTCGTCCCTTCTAAAGAGGGAAGAGGAGAGGGTGGTGCTCTATCTGCACCCGGAGGCCTCAGAACAGGACCAGTTGGGGGTAAAGACACTGAGGGCCAACCAAAATCCAGAGGTGCTCTAGATTTAGGAAGGACCCAGAAATATCTAAAAGCAGGACTTCTGTGCTCAAAGAGCTCACTAGAAATCTGGAGATAAATAGCAGCCAGGCTGATAAAGTGGGAAAGAATTAGCATAGATAATTACTATGTCACCACTTTTTTTAAAAATTTGAGACAGGGTTGCTCTGTGTAGCTCTGGCTGTCCTGGAAGTTACTCTGTAGACCAGGCTGGCCTCGAACTCAGAGATCCGCCTGCCTCTGCCTCCTGAGTGCTGGGATTAAGGCATGTACCACATGCCCGGCTATGCCACAGTTTTATTAAGTTCCTACTGCAGGCCTGGCAGCCCATCAGGCAATGGGCATAAAGGCAGACTGGACACAGCTCTTGCCCTCAGGGAACCCTTTCCATGAAAGGAAGGACAGGCAGTGCACACCCCATGCTTCTGCCTGACAACCTTCCCAATCCGGGCCGTGGAAGGCCATGAGGGTGAGGCTGTCCCTGAAAAGTGGCAACTTACAGGCAAATGCTCACCAACAGGAATGAGCATCACAGCGGGACCAGAGAACACCCCAAAGCAGCCTCAGTTCCATATTGACCTGAACCTAGATTTAGCCCCTAGACTTTTCTCTAATTTACTGTCTATGAATGTCACCCAGAGGTGGTGACTAAGTTAGAAACAGAGAGGAGTCAAGAGAGTGAAACATGAGTGTTGAGGGAAAGCAGAGAAAACAATCCCGGGGCCTCCCAGGCCATGGGCTGACCTTCTGGCCGCTGGATACAGGTATGCTGGTTGTCGCTGAGGAAGAAGCCTTCTCGGCAGTGGCATTCATAGCTGCCCATCATATTAACACAGCTCTGTTGACAGCCACCGTTGCCTTCAGCACACTCGTCCACATCTGTTCGAGACAGGTGGTTGGTGGGGCTATGAGAGCAGCGTCAAAGACTGGGACACACTTAAGAGCCCAGTCCATACACACGAGCCCCCTTAGCAAGGCACGTAGGGCAGGGCTCAGGCAGGGTGCGGGGCATCCAAACCTGGCCAGCAAGGTGAGGACTGGACCCCTCCCTCAAACCTGGAGAGAGAGCTCAGCCATTATGAGCACTGACTGCTCTTTTGAAGACCAGTGCTCACATGCACCTATCTGCCTGTAACTCCAGTTCTGAGGGACCCAATGTCCTCTCCTGGTACACAGAACACACATGCTTACACACATAAAATCTCAGTAAATAAATGAAAACCCTCGGCCTGAGCACAGGAGAGGAGCCAGAGTGAGAGGAACATTGGTGAAGACAAGGATGGAGACGAGTCACACTGGCAGGCAGTGGCATGCCAGGAGTGGTGGCTAGCTGTGATGAGCAGCCAGGAAATCAGAGAACCGGGAAATGGCTCCATCTCCAGACAGCACTAGAGCTGTGGTGATGAAGATGGTGGGGAGGGCAGCTGAGTCACAAGTCCTCATGAAGCAAGGACCATTTCTGTGGACAGGTCACAGCCTCCGCCGTCCTCCCCTCCCCCAGGCCCAGGCTCATTGCCACAGTCCCTAGCTTTTCTCCTATTTTGGTTTAACAAAACAAAACCTGGCAGTGTGGTATGGAAGGGTGGGGAAGTTGGCCAGGCCACACCCTGTATGGCAGAGGGGGAACAATAGGGTGTCCCCAAGTGTTACCGCCTCTAGAACCACACTCACCCCGAGAGCTCACTTCTGTATCTCAACCCCATCTCTGTGCTCACTGCTGCCTTCCCATCCGCTGCTGAGGCCCAGGACATGGAGTTTTGACAGATAGTTGAGGCCTTCAACCCTTAAACAGACTTTTGCAACTCTGACCCTCTCAGAACCCTCTCTCTCTCTCTCTCTCTCTCTCTCTCTCTCTCTCTCTCTCTCCCCCCCCCCCTCCCTCCCTCTATGGTTAGTTCCTACTGAGAACTGGGGTTGGAAAGACCCAACTCAAATCTTGTTGTACACTCAGATTTTCTACTGAATAAATCTCAAAAATGACAGACTAAGGCTGAGTTCAGTGGCCCAGGGATCCCATCTCTAACAGGGAGACTCAGAACTGGAGACAGGATGGGTGGAGACGAAACTAGCCACAAGGGCAGCCTCTAAGAAGGGTACTGATGCACTGTATGGATGAGGAGTCTAGGCTTCCCAGAGGCAGATGACTTGCTCAAGGCCCCACAGGCCCTAGGGGCAGAGCCAGTTCCCCATGCAGGGAGCTAAGCCCACCGGCTCTCATCCGCTGGGCCTCGCCTGGGAGCAGCGCTTCCTCTAATGCTTTTCGGCCAGTAGCAGTACCACTTACTCCCCACTGGCCTGCCTCAGAGGAGGTGGCCATGCTCAGTTCTTTTGACCACTTCTACCTCCTCGCCTGAAAGATGCTAAAAACATCTCCTTCCCACCAAATGCCACCAAGGCTCCCTTGCTCACCCAGACAGTTGTGTCCATCATGTGCCAGGCGGAACCCATCATAGCAGGTGCACCGGTAATTACCAGGGATGTTAACACAGTCGTGAACACAGCCAGCATTGTCCTCCCGTTCACATTCGTCCACGTCTGCGCACAGAGAAAGAGAGAGAGAGAGAGAGAGAGAGAGAGAGAGAGGATGGAGGATGCTGATGACCACATACAAACAGCTATGCCATTTTATATAGTGAACTTGGACATTTTTTAACTGTGGTATTGCTGGGAGGGGGTGTCGTCCTTGAGCCAATGCCTCTCGGATCCTAGGGGGCAACTGTAGTTCTCAGTTTACTATGCCAACAGGAAGTAACATGTACCTTGTCCACTGAAGCTGCAGCGGTACTCGAGGTCACACACTGAGAACAATATTCCTAGGCTGCTTTGCAGTGTTTTAATTATAGCAGAAGACATGTTTGTTTGTGGGCGAATTCCCCCTGGGGCACTCTGGTCCCACCCCTCGAGCATGACAGGAAGGGTACAAGTAGAGGCTCCTGCTTCAGGGATCTTCTGGCGTAGCTCTGTGATTGGCGTGTGCCTCCTCCAGACAGCTATGTGGCTATGAGGCTATGACCAGCACTCCAGTTGCTCTATGCAATGCTTTGTTGGGTGCAAACCAAAACACTGCTCTCCCCGGGAAGATATGTCTACCCTCCTGGGCCTGTAGAGGCTGCAGGCCTTTGGGAACTTTGGTGCGGCCCCCGCGGCGACACCTCCCCGCCTCACCTTTGCAGTGTTTGCCGTCCCCCGTGTAGCCGGACTTGCAGATGCACTTGTATGACCGTGGCGTGTTCTGGCAGATGGCGTCAATGTGGCAATGGTCAGTCCCTTCCACACATTCATCCACATCTGGCGGAGGAGAACGTGTGAGACCCTCAACTGGCGCCTCTCAAGGAAGCCAGCGCACCCCCGAGGGCCCTCACGGTCCTCTGAACATTTCAGGAGTTCAGAATGAACTGTTCCTGCCTCAAAGATATTCAACCCACAATGACAGCTCGACTACTCTCTGAAACACTCTTCAATCTGAAGAGCACACATGACATGTTAGACAGTCAGCCCAGTGTAAGTGAGCAGGCTTGGAGGCAGGGAAGGACAGGCATGGAATCACCGGCCTCCTGAAAGCTGGCCATGTCCAGTGGTCACTGATGATAAGTTGTTCTTTGTTGTTGTTGTTGTTAAGACAGGGACACATATAGTCCAGGCTGGCCTAGAACTCATCACATAGCTAGGGTGACCTTCAATGCCTGACCCTCCTGCTTCCATCTCTCCCAAATGCTGGGATTACAGGCATGTATCAACCGGCCTGGCTGGTCACTATTAATTAAGAAAAGGAGCCGGGGAGTATGAGGGATCCAGCTGTGCACAGCTGTGACCCGGCACTTGGAGACACTATCTCAAAAACCCACACAAACGATCAAGCCTGCTCCTGCTTGTTCACGATGGCACTGAGAAGCTTTAGAGGAACAGAGTTCTTCCATCCAGAAGGATCTTCCTTGGACCCTTAGCTATCAACAGAAGGACCAGGCGCTGGCAGGTATTGGCCTGGCCATCTGAAACTTGCTCTCTCCCACTGACCAGGCCCCTGCCCCCAGTTCTGGATCTTTTTGCTCCAAAGCTAAGTGCTCCCTCTAGCAGGTGTGACAGACATAGTTACTCTAGAGGAAGAGGCTCCTCTGGAGCGGAAAAAAATGGGGGTGACTAAGAAAGGACCTCCTGCCGGGGGTGGTGGCATACAATTTTGATCCCAGCACTCAGGAGGCAGAGGCAGGCAGATCTCTGTGAGTTTGAGGACAGCCTGGTCTATAGAGTGAGTTCCAGGACAGCCAGGGCTTTACAGAGAAACCCTGTCTTGAAAAAACAAAACAAAGAAAGGATCTTGGGAAGTTAGGGACAACATTATGGCACAGAAAGCTGAAATGCTGTAGAGGAGGAGGTCCCATTCACTGGGAAAGGGGTTTTCTGTGGAACTCATGCATTCAGAACCACACGGGTGATTTAGCGCAGCCAGGATAGACAAGTGACAGGAAGCAGGAACAGGTAGTTGTCTTGAGGCTAGGCATGAGGAGGTCCTCACCCCAGGCAGTACATCAGAGCCAACTCCCCTAAAAAACTCCCAAGGCCCCAAAGACTGTAGTCAACAAGTCTGGGCTGGGGCCTGGCAATAGGTATTTCTCAAAAGCTCCCAGCTGATTCTAATGAACAGCTAGGGTTGAAAACTGTGTCACAGTCTGAGGAGGAAGAGGCCGTGTCCACCTGCGAGCTAGAAAAAAGTACACAAAGTATACGAGGGGTCTATGAGAAATCTGCCAGTAACACAGTAGGGATCTGGGAGCACGGTAGGTGTGACCCCCAAGCCAAGCCCCGGGCCCGAAGCGGGTTTTGACATGCTGCTGATTCTCAGGCCTGGCGGTTGCTGCAGTGGAAACAGCTCAAGGCACGCGGTGTGTTTTTCACTGAGCAGTGTACCCTGGGCACCAGCCGTCTCTATAGTTTGTCAACGCTCAGAAGCCTGAGCTAGAAGCAACTGTTTGCCCTCTGTTCTGATGCTTCCAGAAGCACTGGGGGTGGGGCTAGAACTGAAAAGGTAACACCTCACATCCTGCCTCAGATCTGCTGGCTCTGTTCAGCTCTGCACATGACCCTCAGCTCTTCTGTGTTGTCACCCACCGTCCCGACACTTCTGAGTATCAGGAGACTCTATGCTCGCTGTCCACCTCACCCCAGCTCAGCAGCCACCTGCCTGCCAGCCCGTCCCCATGGAGTGAAAGCATGGAGGGGAGAGGCCTGGAAACAGTTCCTAAGCCAAGTCAGCGTGACCTCGTGGCTGGCAAGAGGCTGCTAGAGAACTAGTCTGTCCGACTGATAGTGGGTTCAGACACAAGAAATGTCCTGTTGAGGGAAGGTCACCAACAGTGGAGACAATTCCCAGTGAGGATCCAGCTCCCCACCCTCTGGGGAGACTTTTCACGAGTTTTCCTTTAAAAGACAAGGTTTTACTCTGTAGCACAGGCTGACCCCCAACTCATAACACCTCTGCTCCAGCCTCCCTGGTGTCGGGACGGCAGGGACGACCACCACACACTGGCTTCTTGCTCAGTTTTCTGTCCTGAGAATCGGGATGATGGCGCCTCCCCAGAAGAGGCTGCAAGCAGCTGATGAGGCCTGATGATTTGTGTGAACCTCCATCAGGCCTGTGGACGGCAGGAGGCGTGTGAAGCTAGGGTTGAGCAATGGGGGTCCAGGTCTGCTCTGTCCACTGCGGCAGCAGCCAGGAGCCATGTGTGGCTTCCTTCATTTCAAAGACAGCTCTTCAGTCCCACTAGCCATAGGGTAAATGTTCATGGTGGCAGTGCAATGGGAGGGGCCCAGCAAACAGCACAGGGTTCCACGGAACAGCAGAGCTCTAGGGGCTCCTCCTGAAGTCCACCTCAGTGGACCCTGTCTCCATCTGCTGGGGCTTGGCTCCTGGTGCCTAAGGCTCCTCCCTTTGCCTCCCCCGCCCTAAGTGCTCACAGAGACTAGAGCAAGGCTGAGGTGGACTACAGCTAGGGAGCTAGGGCAGGCCTGCTGGCTGCCTCAGGCTCTTCCTGGTGGCAGCCATCTCCCTAAGCACAATGCCTACCTGTCTTCAGCACACTGCTCCAGACGTCATGTCCTACCCTGGTCTACTCCCTCACACTGGCTAACCCTACCAAACTCCTCCTTACCATTCATGATCCAGGCCCACCCTTCCCACTGTCTTCCCTGCTCTTGGGGAGCCCTGCCCCTGGGGGGACTCAGCTTGCCTTCCTTTTTGTTCACACTGATCTGTTCAGCCAACACTCTGAAGCAGTCTCAAGTAACACTTCTCACGCGGCTGGGAGCTTGCTGAAGAAGGGACCTTCCGATTGTGGCTGAAATCTGACGCAAGCTGGCCCCAAATCGCACCCTGCTCCTCCTCCTCTGCCCCTCTTCAGTGCTCCTTCTCAGGACACCTGCCAGCCCAGAAGGCTTCCTTGGCGGGACCTCTGTGACGCACAGCACATGGGCAGCCTCAGCCTTAGTCTACCCTCTGAGGGCACAGCTGCTTACCAGCTGCAAGCCAAGTGATGCTCTTGGCATGGGTTGGTTCTTGGCTCAAGCAGTACACTGGGGACCTCTAAAGACCCAGGGGTGTCTAGACCCCCCAAATCAGGACCTCCTGGGCAAGCCTGGGGATGTGTTTTCCAGAGACACATGTTCTGCAGGGAACAACATGTCTGATTGAAGGGTCTGGACTGATATTGTACCAGCCGCAGCGCAGGCTTCGCCGAGGCTTGTGTGGCCTTGAGCCAGCCTCTGAGCACACCTGCTCCTTCCCCTGTAAATTAGTCACAGCACTGTCTAAGCGGCTGCTAGCAGCATCAAATGAGTTGGTACCCACCAAGCACCAGGTGCCCCAGTGTGGACATACAGAGAGTGCTGGATAAGAGCATTCGCTCACTGGTCATCCTTTCTAGTAATCTCCAGGATGCTTCGTCTTGTTAACTCGGTGCTAAGTACCTTGAGGCCATGACATTGACCCTCTGAACCCGTGGCACTGCTGGCAGAGCATACCTGACCACTTGGCAAATGGCTACTAGGTACCTGTATGAGGGCCAGCTCTGTGCCAGTGAGCGAGGCAGAGTAAGAGTACAGTGAGGGGCTTTGTAGGAATCTGTTGAACAGAGAGGTGGGTGAGACCTTTACCTGTGGCATACCCCAGAAGGAAGCCTGCTTTGTTTACTCTCCTGTGGCCATTTGGCATCCTGGGAAGAGGGGTGTCCTAGGGCATTTATTCTGAGGAGGGGAGAGCCGGGGCGGTGGCTTGGTTCGTAAAGCATGAGAGCCTGAGCCGGGAGCCCCAGAACTTATAATGTACACCTGTAATCCTCTCATGGCTGCAGCAAAACAGGAGGCAGAGGCAGGAGAACCCGATGGCAAGCCCGCTTGCCCAGCTTGTGCCAGTGTCAGAGGTGAACGATGACACTGTGTCAAGCAAGGTGGACATGAGAACTGACACCTGAGGTTGACCTCTGACCTCCACATGTGTGCTGTGGCGGAGTGCCTGTGCCCACACACATAGGATTTTAGAGTCCACAAAGACAGTGCACTGAGGCCTGGTGAACACATGGCCAGAGGAGACTGGGCACAGCAGATGGCAGATGGTAGAATCTTGGGCTCCTTTGTTACCTCTCTGGCAGCTGCAGGCATTTCTTATTAAATGAATGGATGGGGAGATGCCTAATGAGGTTATCCTGGGAAAGGACCGATAGCCGTGCAAAGACAGAACCCAGGCCCACCCCGAAAGCCTTCTAAGAACTTGAGAGATGGGTCTCTGCCTCCCCTGGCCCCAACTCAGCGCTTAGCTCAGGCTGAAGCAAGCAACCAACACAGCATGAGATGGAATCGAACTGAATTTGGCCGGTGGTAAAAAGCCAGCACCCAGGTGCTCTGAGGCAGGAGACCAGGGCAGACAGGGAACAAGCAGACCAACAGCCAAGGAGAGGGTGGGCAGGTGTCGCCAGCCTTGGGATTCACTACTCTGGGGCCAAGCAGCTGGTTAGAAACAAAAACAAACACCAGGGATACAGGTCCCTGCTGTTAACAGCTTCAAACCGCCAGAGGAAAACACAAATAAATATAATTAGAAACTTGTAAAAAAAAAAACGTCCTCTCTCTAAACCTGCCCCCCCCAGGGTCTACTCTTTAATATCCCATCCTCCCACAACCCCCCAAACCACACACACACCTACACAGCCTGATTCTGCACCTCCCCCAGGGATTCCTTGGGCCTGTCTCCTCATCCTGCATCTTCTATGGGCCAGCAACCATGTCCTCAGTGTGTCACTGTCAGTAACCACAATCAGACAGCCCTGGGCACAAAGCTCTGAAATTCAAAGCCCACAGCTCTCTGGGGCTCTGGTTTGTCACAGGGGAAAACCATTGGCAAACCAAGGCCCCCAGTGCCCTATTCAGGGGGCCATTGTCCCAATTCTGTAGCCTCCAGCTCCAACTCCAGAGTAGGCCCTTGGTCGGAGGCGGGACAGGCTGGGGACAGAGGGGTCAGTCTTGGGCACCACAGTGTACACATCCACAGAAACATGTGCTCGTGCTTCTAGGGCTGGTTTCC